AGATCAAACTAGCAGCGGTAGAGTTCACTGACTACGCTTAGTGTGGTGGGATCAACTATCTTAGTGTGGTGGGATCAACTACTCCTCACTAGACGATATAATGTAGAGCAACCAATATCCTCTGAAGAGAGATGAAAGCAATCATGCGAAAAAGGTTCGTACCATCTTACTACTATAGAGAGATGCATCAAAAGTTACAGCGCTTAATGCAGAGGTGTATGTCCGTTGAGAACTATCACAAGGAGATGGAGATGGCCATGATCAGGGCCAATATAGAAGAAGATCCCAAAGCAACCATGGCGAGATTCCTCAGAGGTCTCAACAGAGACATCGCCAATATGGTAGAATTATAGCACTATATGGAGGTGGAAGACATGGTGCACATGACCATGAAAATCAAGAGACAAATCAAGTCCAAAAAGAGGGGCACATCATATGTCACCCCTACCTACAACTGGGAATGACACAAGAAAAAAGAAAACAAGGGAGCAAACGAGAAGAAGAAAAAGTCAACACCACTTGATACAAAAGGTATGATGCCTAACTCATTTCAAAAGTATAGTACAATTAAATGCTTTAGGTGTCTTGGAACCGGACATCTCGCTTCTAAATGATGTCCTAATAAGAAGATCATGTTATTGAGAGATGATGGTGGAATTGATAGTGCTAGTGATTGCGAGAGCGAAAATAATAATAGCATGCCACCACTAGAGGATGTGAGGAAAGTATTGAATATCCAACTCAGGGGGAAGCTTTAGTTATCAGGAGAGTTTTGAATGTCCAAATCAAACCGGAAGAAAGTAACCAGAGAGAGAATATTTTCCACACTCATTACTTTATAAATGGGAAGGTATGTAGTTTCATTATAGATGGGGGTAGCTGACCAATGTTGCTAGTACTATCCTAGTTGATAAACTTGGGTTGACATGCACGCACCATCCTTACCCTTACAAGTTACAATGGCTGACTGATTGTGGAGAGATGAAAGTGACTAAGCAGGTATTAGTTTCCTTCTCTATTGGGCGATACATTAATAAAATACGTTGTTATTACTCATGCATGCTAGTCACATCCTACTTGGAAGACCCTGCCAGTATGATAAACGTGCAACTTATGATGGCTATAGGACTCGTTATTCCTTTAGCATGAGTGATTAGAATTTTACACTTGCACTGCTATCACTTGAGGAGGTATTCAAATATCAGTAACAGTTCAAAAACTCCATAAAGTTCGGAAGAAATAAAAGATTGAGCAACATGAAAAGAAAATAGTATATGGAACAGGAGCTAAGGAGGTCATCTTTCAAGAAAAAAATTTTAACTCACCTCAAACCTTCTTTTTTTAATAGTGTTGTTTTGTAAGACATTTTCTCAAAAAAAACAGGATTGGTGAAACTCCTGGATAAGAAGTATCCGATTTGAGGACAAATCGTTTTTGAAGGGGGAGGAAATGATGTGAGCATGGACATAGATCATAAAGAGAAGATCCAATCCAAAGAAAGATGAGGGAATAGGCCAAAAAAGAGATCTTATAGTCGGTCCTAAATTTCCATGTCTCCCCATTAATTTGATCACAATCTCTTTTAATTAAAGAGGAATACTAAATTTATCTTAATAAGAAAATTAGTTTTTAATTTTTAATTTTTAATTTATTTTCTATGTAATTGCAAATTAAATTAAAAGATTTTATTTTATTTTTATTTACTTGGCTTAATCTATAAATAGTCTATCAAGTCTTTATTGTAAGGCATTTAGAAATTATCTCAATAATATTAACAGTGTTTCTTTTTAAGAGAGGTTTTTCTACCATCTTATTGAGTAAGAAGTTGATATATTTATTACGATACGATCTTATGGCGTTTTTCTATTCTATTTCTTTCATTTACAATGATCTTAATTTCTATCATTTTTTACAGCGAGTTAAGTAGGAAGGATTTATATAAGATCAATTCTTTTGATGCCTTTAAATGAAATTGTTGAGTTCTTGATCACGTTGGTTGATCTTAGATTCCGCATCATAGAGTCAGGAGTACTATCCTTGTGGCATATTCAATCTTACCATCAAATCGCGGATACTTTCACCAAGGCATTAGATAGGAAGACTTTTAAAGAATGAAATTTCAAGCTTGGTTTGCTCAACATCTTCAAACCAGCTTGAGAGGGAGTATAGGATTCTGATTTCTTAAAGAGAGAAGATAGAGTGAGGAGCACTGTCTTTCTGGCATGTTCAGTCTTGTCATCAAACCGAAGATATTTTCATAAAGGCATTACCTAGAAATATTTTCAGATAATTGAGTTCCAAATTTGGTTTGCTCAACATCTTCAAACTAGCTTGAGGGAGAGTATTGGAATCCGACTTCTTGTAGAAGTCAAATTCCTATACAGCTCGGTATCTTCAAAAAAATCTCCCTATAACGTAAAATCATAGTCAATTTCTATAATTAAATTTTTTTTTGTTTTTATAGGACTAATTTGTATTTAGTTTTCTATTATAACTCTCTCTAATATTCTCTTGTATATATCTTATTATTATAAATTAAGTATTATAGATAAAAGTCAGTAAATAAAAAATTTAATTAGAAATTTTCATGTAATAATAAAATGATATGAAATTCCTACTGAAAAAAGGAACCGGGAACTTCCATATGGTAATAAATTTAGTTTCTTATAGACACTGAGATGTACAAATACCATGTGTGTGCCAGACTTCCTTTTTATTTGGGCTGAAGGGTTTATCCAGTGAGGCATTTATGCCCTTGGATAAAGGGAACTCAACCCCTAGGTCGGTTGAACCTTGGCCTCTCCTCTTAAATGGGGAGACTTTCGCCTGGGTTATCCATGTGTTCCAAAATTTAAAAATTATGGGATTTAAGTTATTTGCGTATCAGATGACTATCAAGTAAATGGAACTTTTTTTACATGGAAATATCAATTACAGATGTGTTGCCACTTAGCATTATGGATAAGCTCCAAGCAATCTTTACTTACTAATAATTTGATTACTTGATAACAGGGGTTTTGCTTTCATACTAGAGTTTCTGGTTGCCTTGATTTCAGTGATACTGGATCTACTTTCAAGACCAACCTGGTGGGGCATACCAATGGATTTGGGATTTAAGCTGCCACTGTCTGATGCATACTTTCCCTGCCAGAGTCATTTGTTGAGGACCTTGGCTGGACCTCTCTTCTCAGAAAAGTTTGTACATTTGGTTCATGTTATTGGCAGTCCCATATCTGGTGCTAGGAAACAATCTGCTTCCAGTTTCAAGCGGACTGGAATAAAGCTCGCAACAATAAATCAGAATTCTTTGTGGTAAAAAATTTCTTGCTTAATGAATCCTGATGAAGATATGTATTTCATCTTCTACCCATTGGCTGCAAGTACTTGAAATTTATTTACAAATATTTTATATCAGGGCTTTGGCAGTCAACTTCCCAGATTGGTTCTATTTTGCATCTATTTTGCTCTTCTCTGGAAAAAGTTTCCAAGATCATTTTCAACCAAAATGCATGATAGGAGCCCCTAAGAATAGAGGACCACATGATTCGGTGCTTCTCTCTCAAGCTGCAGCAAGGTATATTGCTTGGGTCATGAGCCCTTTAAATAAATCCAATCAGGATTTGCTGGTTGGTTGTTTGATTAAGATCTCAGAGGCTTGGACTCGCCAACAGTTTGGCCCAGGTGTACATGATAAGAAAGCTCTCGGTTGTGACAAGCTTAAGAAACACAAATTTCATGGCAGCAAGGACTATAATCTTACAAAAGTAGGTAATTCTAAAATGATTGACCTCTGGCTCAGAGAATTTCAGAGCACATACTTGGATTTTGCTAAAGAAGCTTTTTATGGCTCTGCATCTCGTGAAACAAATGCTTCTTGTGGGCATAGTTTACATGAAGACCTACTGGTAAGGGGAATACCATTAGGTGTCTTGGTTGGATGTCCCAATTCTATAACTGATGATGGATGTGAACTTTTGTTGCATTATGCTGCCACTGGTAGAATTGGTTTAATGGAATCAAAGTTTTCTGGATCAAAGCATGCTGAGCAAATTTCTGAATTCAAGGAAGGGTCAAATACACAAGCAGGCATGTGCAATACTAAAAGGGAGGCTATAGCTGGTGCCTGTCTTGCCTTCAGGTTAACTGATATTGTCCAGAGTATGTCTGCTTCATTCTTTGAGAACCAAGAGATCGGACAGGAGTACATTTACCAGGTGAAACTAAAGGCTAGCAAGTATTTGATCAAGTGTATCAAGAGACTAATCCAGCTGGGTGTGGATGAAGATGGACCCATGCTGCTAATGGGTCTTCATGATAGGTTGCTGCAGTGGAGACATCAAGGGAAAGAAGTAATAGAGGTTAATAAGGATCTGGACGATATCACTAGTGATTTGAGCCACAAATTATCTTTACTGTGAGAATATTTTGAAAATATTTCTTGGTTTCTTCCTTCTCAATTTTTGTAGCATTAACATGTAAGATGAAAGAATATTATTTAATTTTTTTCTCTCAAGCTACAGACAATGAAATTGACTGTTCCATTTTGCAAGTTAAAAATGAAAAATACCAAGTATTTTGACACTTATTTTAGTCTCTCAAATAGCAAGGTCAATCCTTATTTTCAAGAAAAGTAGTAAGGTAAATCCAAACCCACAGGATTCTGTGCAATCATGAAGGGAACTAGGCAGTATCTCAAAGGTACTGGACATCCTTGCACATATCGTAGTCTAAAATTGATGAGTTTTAGATTAAGAAGATTTAGTGATTCAAAGACTAATCAAATTGATCCTTTTAAATTGATAGGAACTCAGCCCTTCAAGACAAGCCAAATTGATAATATAACACGAAGCATGATAGTAAACAAACAAAATGCCATTTAGAAGCTGGTTTTTATTAATAATACTTCCTGATTTGTTCTTACAAATAAGAAGGCATGAGGTTTATTTTCCCTGAATACTTAGATTGGAACCCCAGCTAGCTAGAGGTATGTATATCCTTAATAATTATCAAGATATACTGTGTGTGTGTGTGTGCGTGTGTATATATATTAAAACTATACTCTTCTAGTTGGCCTAATGTATGAGGTATGGAGGTGTAGCAATAGCTTGTCTCTGCACATAAAAATGTTGTGATATTCTACCATATCCATTCCCTTTGGCAATTCTGGGCAATCTGCTTCGTTTAAGCTTGTATCACCCCTAAGGACAAAAAGTCACTTGGATTCTTCCAAACTATTTTCTGTGCTAAATTTGACCTAACTGGGGACTTCATTTATTAGGGTTAAACTATAAACCTTTACCCATTTTAGCTTTCTGAAAACTAACTACACAACTCTTTTCACCAAAGAAATCTTTGTTGGATCACCACCCCATTCTTCAAAAACAACTAATAGGTTCGCAGTTGGGTTGAGCCACGAGCGAGGAACATGGTACCTGAAAATTAGAAAAGCAGCTTTGTTAAACACACAATTTACTAATCATTATGATATTGAAAACATGAAGCATATCTTTTTACGAACCATCTCTGAGAAGCCTTTCCACAGTTACTATGACATTTTTTCTCATCATATATTCCAGCATAGTTGCAAGCACCACAACTTCCACGAGCTTTATATCCAGGCCAGTGGCGTCCAATACTTTGACCATTTATCCATATCTGACCTTTTCCCATACTGTTCATATCTAAAGCTAATGGATCATTACCTACTGGTGCGTTAAAAGTAGTCTGCAAAGCAAAAATATTGGATTCTATTAAATCTTGATTCGATTACAAAATATATATTTTTTGAGATAAGATAATCCTCACCTTGTACCAAATGAGGGGTTGTCTTTGAGCTAGTAATGATCCTTCAACCCACTCAACAGACGAACTGCCACTAACTGTATGAAGGCTCAAGGCTTCGCCTTTCAGACCAATCTGATTAAAAAAATCATCAACTCAATAATAAGCTATTGATCAATGTAGAAGTAAAAAACATAAGGCTGGAGACATAGGACCAGACCTTGTAAGACCATTTCCATTTTGACATATCCCATGTTCCTGAATTCACCCCTTTCAATGTCACTGGACCCAGAACCCCAGCATTCCATGTTTCAAAGTGTAAGCCAACATTCTGAATTCAAAAACATGATGATTCAAACAGGGAAAAAATTTGCAGATTTCCAGAAATTTCATGAAAAAAAGGTCAAGGAACTAACCGGAAGGCCAACAGCGATACTTAGTAAAGAAACCTTGTTGACTCCTGCTCTCAGTTTCACCTTGCCACTAAAGGCTAGTTTGGGATTTTCCAATTGTCCATATACAGTTCCTGAAACAAGAAGTGGGAATTCAGTTATGCTTTAATTCTCTTGTTATTTATGTTAAAAGATTGAGAAACTAGTTGATTTACCTGATAGTTGACCATTCACAAAAACATGCAAAGCATGGCCTGCTGACATGACTGTCAAAATGGGATCTTGCCCATTCTTCAAGAATGCTTCATCAGGACCTATTGTCACACTGAATAGGGAGAAGGTATAACAAGGAATAAGAGAAAAACAATGTAAGTACCATTTGTTTCTTGAAAACTATGTCCAATATAATCCTAGCAATCACAACTACTTACTCTGTCATATACCACAAGTAATCTGTAGCATCTCTGGTGACACTTATCTGTTCCCACAGCCCATCTTTGGTAAATACAGCATCATAATTTGCGGAAGGTGTTTCTTCGTTGTACGACTGCCAAGAGAATGCACTGTTGACAGCAATCATCTTTGCTAGCGAGCCTTGTGAAACAACCTGTTCATAGATAAAAATCAAACTTTAAACTAAAGATGGGAAATTTTTTGGTAATTCATTGATGAAAAAGAATATTCTCCTTAACCTTTGCAGTGTTGAAAACTACAGTTTTGCAGTCAGGAAGAATGCTGACAGACCAAGGAGGTAGGTCATAAGGCAGGTTTTGAAAGGTGACTCTAACTGAGTACTTCAGATCGTAGTTAGCAAGGAATGCAGCACAAGAGGTTTTTGTCCAAAACACATGAGCCTGGTAATAACAAAATCATTATACAACTGCCATCCAGAAGAAGAAAACTGCAATGTCCATGTAGGTGATTATAAAAATTTTACCTCTTGGTTACTTCCTAACGATGTCACTTTAGGATCAACAGAAACTAAAGATGGTTCACATAATTTGATGGTTTTATGCAAATCCCTCAAGTGCCCCCATTTTGGCTCCCTCCTTAGTCCTACATCAACAAGTGTGTCACATATTTTGCAGAATTCTAGTCTTTTGTCAATTTTATTTTAGTGAAATCGCTTTATTCACTTATCCTATTGAGCAATCATCCCAAATTTTCAGTCAAGATATGTAAATCCTGATCACTATGCATACCATACTCATCAAGAGGGGCATCGTAATCATAGCTAGTAGCAATGAAAGGACCTCCAGCAGTTCTGCCAAAATTTGTTCCTCCATGGTACTAAAGCAAAGGAAATCAAAGCGTTCCATCGTTAAGAAAATAGTTATTATAAGTGATCAGCCAAATAAACAAAGCCAAATTAATCACCATATAATAATTAATGAATGATCCCCTATTCTGAATGAACCTTGCAACGGAGTAAGCCATGTCTTCTGCAGGTCTATAAGGAACTGGACCGCCAAATTCCGTGTACCTGAAGTTTCAGAGATCAAACAACATCAAGAAAAACTTTTCTCAAGGAAAAACTCTAAGATAAAAGGAGAACAATCGCATAATTGGATGTGAAAACGTATGAGAAAAACTTTAAACTTAAATGAGAGAAAACTGTTTAAGGAAAAGAACTAAATCTACTCTACAAAGCAACAGTGGTGTGACTTACCAGCCAGTCCAGGCCTCTGTAAACATTTTTGGTTTGTAGTTGGCGTTTGGCATGAAATTTTCACAATAGAAACCATTGCAAGTGTCAATCTATCACAAGACAAAAGCATGGTCAGACAGAAATTTTTATGCCTAATACCCTGTTACTGAAGTTACTGGTGATTTCTGGAAAATCTGGTGGAAAGAAAATTAAACCCTTTTTTCAATTAACCAGAATCATAGTGATGAAATAATGCAGAGACATTCTCTACGTTACTGAAATGCAAAAACCTAACACCTAAATATTGAAGAAAAGACAACAGAAAACAGATTGCTAGGGTCCCATGAAAACGAATAGGAGAAAATAAGAGCACACCCCAACCCCCAAAATAAGAAAGAAAGAAACATTGAACAAAACCACAAAAATAACCTGCAAATTCTTAAAAAATGAAAAAGAAAAATAGAAAGAAGGAAAATCAAATTTATCTTACAATTGGGTCAGGAGCATCCTCTTGCTTGCACATAATCCATGGGACTCCAGTGCCAAGACCCACTGCCATTTGTGCTGCCCATTTTGTATAAGCTTTCCCCGGTGCTCCAATTTCCCACTCAATAGGTCCATACTCATTCTCTATCTGCACTAAATTCGGAAAATACTCTTTTTAGGGTAGTGGCCCAGAAAATACAGGAAACCAAACCCAAACAAAAATTATTCATAATACAGAAAAAGATGATTAAGACAAGATTGAGTGTTTTTTCAATAACCTGTGACATAATTATTGGACCCCCTTGAGGTTCAAATAACTTTTCTGCCTTCATCATGTTGACTATTTTCTCTGTAAATTTTTGCATTTGTGCCTTCATCACAGTGAAGAGAACCCACCGAGGTTAAATAATCCGTAGAAAAAAATTAAAAGAAAAGGCAGTTAATATAATAAGTAATAAAGACAAAAGGAATATGGAAAAGGGTAATTAAAAAGATTCTAAAAATCCAACCTTGAAAGGTCCATTGTCTGTTCTGAATTGAATACCAGGAACGTATTTGAGCCAAACAGGAAAACCCCTGAACAAAAAACAGAGTATAGAGAAGATTACAAAGCAATTTTTAACAGAGAGAAATGTAAAAGGTTTGAGTTACTGAATTACCCAAAATTCCATTCACCACAAATATAAGGACCTATTCTGAGATGAACATACAGACCAGCTTGATGCACCAACTTGATGAACTTTACAAGATCATACCTGTCTTCAAAATAATACTGCACAACACACATATATATACTATATAAGTGATGAAATGGGTGCGCGAATATTTTCATTTTGGAGACTTGAAAAATGGAAATTAGAATGAATGTGCATTACATTTCCAGGAGAGGGCTCATGTCCGTTCCAAAAAACATAAGTCTGTATGACATCTAACCCTCCTTCTTTAGCATTTTGTATAAGATCAGGCCACATCTGCAACCAGCCAATAAAAAAAAAAACTTAAAAACGAATCTTTTGCAGAGAAAAATTCAAAAGAAAAAAAGAATGCGGAGACTGGGGAAGAAGAGTTTATTTACCTGAGGAGTGCTTCTGGGATAATGAATGGAGCCAGAAATAAGAATCCTTCTGCGGCCATTAATGATTATAGCTTTATGGTCGTAAGACACAGTAGCTTCAACAGACCAAAGCCATGAACAAAACAACAAGAACAAGACCAGGTTTGTCTTCAACATGATAGCAAATGAAAATATCAAATAATTGTTTACTCCTTCAATGCTGTTTAGTAGAAGAGAAGGAAGGAAATTTAGATTTTTGTTAAAGAGGACATTAATGGAGGAGTTGAGTGTGTTTGGGTTGAGATCATGGTTGAAGAAGACCAAAACTGCTTCGTATATATATATATAGGATTGAAAACGAAGGACCCAGTATTCCATATAAATAAATATATTACCTTTTATTTTTGTATCATCTTCTAAATTAATAATTTGTTTAAAATTTTTTGAATTTTTTCAAGCCATAATCCATATTCTATAGAGAAAAATATAAAGCACCAATTATCTAATTTTTAAAAAAAGATGATTAATATAATTTTTATTACACTATTAATAGAAATATAATAATATGTATGTATATATATATATATATATATCAAAAACTAATTAGGAAAGTGGCGATAGCAACATGAAATAAACTAATTAGGAGAAGTGGATAAAATTTAAACCGGCGAAATTGCATTTGTCTTTGACCTCCACATCATCTTCTCTTTTGCTACTTCCCCTTTTTAGTTTTTTATGCATAAAAAAAATTGTTCCAATGCAATTAACCTCTCAATATTTTTTAATTAAAGAAAAATGATAATTTATTAGAATTCCAAGGCAACGAAGACAGGTATTAAATAAAATTTTAATTTCTTTTGCCAATTACTTTGAATTTTAGAGAAGAAAAAAACGTGTAGAATAAATAAATTATTAAAGGAAGAGAGAAGATGGTTTCTTTCACTTAAAGGGTATTTCGAATCTCTTGATGGCCACTCACAGACTGCCACGTGTCCAATATATTATTTTTCCAAGCAACCAAGAATGATTAATTTGCTTGTTGTCATAGGAAAGGACTATAACATGATCGTATGAAGATGCAAAATACTAGTATTAACTAAACTATGTAAATTAATTTTATTAATATATATGATTAACAAATCAATTTAAAAAAAAAAAAAAAAAAAAAAAATTTGTTGAGTGGTAGTTATAATTAGTTGACGTAAGACCTGCCACTCAAATCAAGTTTTAACTAATCAAAATTAGTTTCATCCAATTCAATAATTGATCACCAATTTTACTCAACTATATTATTCTAATTTTATAACTCCTAAGTTGACAATAAGAACCCCACCTCCCCAGTATATACATACGTATGTAAATATTATGAGGAATAATACTTGTACCATTTTAAGTTAAACCCTTTTAAAAAGAATCTCACTTTTATCTTTGAACAAGCTTCGTTTTAATCTTTTATTCAACTTCTCCTACAAATCATGACCCAATTTAAATCTTGCTTAAATAATTAACACCATTTGGTTGTAATGTCTTTACAATACTAATTTTTGTAATTAATATTAATTAAACTTCATTACTTATGTATGCGTAGCTAATTGCGTACATGCACGTTACCCTGTTAAACTTATTTATTTTGTTAATGATTTTCCAGACCAAACTTCAATTATTGATTAATGAATCCACACTTTATATATATATGTTTTAAAGTTCGGAGTCAAAAATAAAAATAAAACACAATTTTTTTTTTTTTTTTTTTGTTTATCTTTTCTGTGTTTGAGAATTGGGTCTAATTTTCAAAAGCAGCACAATTAATAACGACATAATTAATTGGATGAATAAATTGTTGGGAGGAAATTCTAAATTTCTAATTTATTATTATCAGCAAGTAAATTTCTAATTCTAGATTTCTTATTTGAAAAAATTTATCTAATTTGCCAATGAGTCAAATTGCTTGAGATAAGAGACCCACTTTAAAATAATAATTTTATTCATCATTTCATATTTATACACATGCACATATTAATATATCCCATCATCATCTCATACTACAATCGTAGGAGACACTCATATATATCAAAGGTGGAGGACAGGGTAGATAAAATCACAATCATAGAAGTGTAAGTGACAAATTTGCATATAACAGCAACCTAACCTTCTCGATTAAAATTGTTTCTCCTAATTCTATCTTTTTTATTTGAAAATATTAGACGATATATCATTACACAAAACCTTAAAAAGGGTCATATCATAATTTCAATATGTAAAAATATATGATTAGGCGTTCTATTATTTTAATTTTGTAGAGGTTTTTTCAATTAACTAGAAAAAATCGAATTTAAATTCTAAAATACAAAACATTATTCATTTTAATTTTATGTCATTGAGTTACAATTTTAAGGGGGAAAAGACAAATGCTTTTAATAATATAACTTAAATGTATAAAAATAGGGTAGTAAGTAGGGGACTTTATGAAAGTGGGGCCCACCGACATATAGGAAGAAAATGTATTACGTGAATAAGTTGGACAATTAAGTGGGTCCCGCAATCTCCATAAAGTTTACAACCACACGTTTTGTTTTATACACGCTACCAAATCCTAATCCAACATTCTAACCCAATCACTTCATATTTGCTCCAATAAACTTTCTCAAGCTTG